CGGTTTGCAAGTGCCTTTCGTAGAGCACTAATGTTCTGCAATTTGGAAATGCTCTTGCACGAAAAGCCAGACCCTAGGGCAAATGATGTTGCTAGTTCCTCATTTAAAATTCAAAAGAAATAAGTCATGAGTCACGAGCTGTCCAAAGTCAACCAAGCGAAACATCGTGTTAGTTAAAAAGCCTGCCGATACGTTACGTTACAATAAACATGACATTGTAAGTTTCGAGACAAGACACGCATGGTTTGTTATCGTGCCGAACACACTTGCGTTCATCATCCTTGTCGAGAACTGTGACATCGTGAAACAAGCACGTCGAATTGTCCGTCAGAATGTGCTTGAGAAGGAAAGCCTGTTTTGACTTGTGGCTTTCACAGGCCATTTGATGCGAAACCTTGGAATTGACATGATACATTGAAACAATCAAGTGGAACAGTACCAAAAGCTGCAACCTGGAACTGAGGAAAAGACTGATAACCATGCACCGTCTGCAAGTTGTTCTTGCAAAGCTCGGCAAACTGCTTGGCTAGCCATCTCGAAACTTCCTGTCCCTGTGCAAGTTGAATCAAACACCATAGATGATGGTAGCTTTGCCAATCTCTCAGCAGTTTCTGGGATGGCCAATGCCTTTTGGAGCAAAACCTGCAACTGCAGAAAGCTTGGTTTGGCTAAGTTTTTCAACTGAAATGTTTATGGAGCAAGTAACAACTGATCCAATAAATACAACAACAATGAAAAACAAGTTGTGCCTTGGCGGCAGATCCCAGAAGATCGTCTTTGTCAAAGACGCACTCACTCTCTTCTGGAATTTCCGCAATACCTGAAGTTTTGGTTTTGATAAGGTATTGACATTGATATTGGTTGACTACTTGAACATTGTTTTTTTGCTGCTGAATCACTAGAGACCTGATCATTGTTATCTATCTTCATGAACATCACTATCACCATTGGAATCAATGCCAGCGTCACAAAGATCCATTTGGCCGATATTGGCAGCAACCTGGAGTGATAGTGAAAGTATGAGACCATCACAAGTAAAGAACAAAGTATAACATCAACATGTTGATAAGCACACCGGTGTCTGTACATACATAAATATAAACAAACCTAGCCTCTTGACCAGAAACTTCTCCAGCTGCTGAGGGAACACCAGCTGCTGGGGGATCTACAAGCCACGCTATAAAGTCTTTCACATCCTCGAGAGGATCTCCATCTTCATGGCCAAAGACGTAGTCACCCAAACCCAAATTCAATATCAACCACAGTTCGTACTTCTTTACTCGATCATGGTGTTTGGCTTGGTCGAGCAACAAGTCAAAATCATTATCATCGAACTGCTCAAAAATCAGATCGAGCTTGCTTCGCCATTCTCCTTCAATCCCATGAACAAATGCAACCACATTGTTCAGATCACAACCATCTCCACGGATCAGCTTGACCGTGCTCAGAGCTTGAATGTCTGACTGGTCACCGGTTGAACCAGTGACTTGCAATTCCTTTTGAATGGCTGCGACTAAGCCATTGTCAACTCCTGGATCTTCTTGGTGTGGCGGCTTAGGTTCACCCTCAGTGTGTTGCACACTCTGGTCACCAGTTGAACTAGTGACTTCCACTTCCGTGTGCATGGCTGCAACTCCTGGCTCTTCTTCATTTGGCTTGGGCTCACGCTCAGTGTGTTGCACACTTGGGCGGTCGGTTACGATCTCTGGTGGAACATCCGTTGGCATGGATGAACCATTCTCAACTTGCGGGTCTGATTGGTGCTCAGCAGGGCTTTCATGAACATCCTGCACGGTGGGTGAATGTGAACTTTCATTGGACTCATCATCACAAGTCTCATGTGCTTCCTGTGGTGGACTCGCATTGTCAGTGTTTCCACTGTCTGTTCTAGGCCTCTTGTAGTTGTAAAACTGATCAATTCTGCCTTGGTCATGATCTGGCAGTGTACGGAATGCGTTTTCCACTTTGTCAGTGGGACGGGCATGTCGTTTTGGAACTCTATGCTGTGGCTTTGGTTTGGGCTTTGCTGCAACCTTTTTGACAGCAGCTGGCTTGGCTTTAGGCTTAGCCACTGGCTTAGCCTTAGCCTTCGCGGCTGTGGCTGTTGCTTTGGTTTTGGCCATGTTTTGGCGCTCCCGTTGCTACAGTGTTGGCGCTCCCGTTACTACAGTGCAATTTGAAACACAAAAGGCTGCTTTTACAGTGACATTACATCTCAATAATATGATCATGCAAGCATTATTTCAAAGCAATACATATGATACCGCAGTGAATGTTTACACAAGAAATTAACTAAGGCTGTCGCAAACATTTTGTTTCTTTTCATTGGTCTCTAGGCATGCTATTCTGTGTGAGTGAACACTTAGTCTTGTCACTTGTCCAAGTGTTCATCATTGTACATGTCATCTTCTTGCGCTCATTCACACAGCTATGTGCTTGGTACTTGCTAGTGTTGGTTGTTGTCTCAACTGTCAAGTGACAGGCCGCGACTTGCGACCCCCGTTCATCCCCTTGTCAAGTACTGTAACGCAAAAACAAACCACTAGTTACATTTACATAACTAACAAGAAACCAAAGTGATAATGATATGTGAAGTCTGTGGTTAAATGGGAATGAACTGACAGGAGTTTTAGAAATTTTGCTCAGCTGTCTCAACAGGCCATTCAGAAGCAGCATCCACAAATGCACAAGACACAAGTCACACCCTTAGCCCTTAAGCACTTAATCTGAAACTAACAACTACCAACATCAGTCGCCTGGAAACAGCTGATCACACTAGTCGTCTCGAATTATGTGCTGCTGACATTGGATCCTATCAGGCTTGCCACCTTTGCTGATAGGTCTCCATCCACCATTAGTGACATATCATGAACCTTCTGCATAATTTGCTGAAGCGTCAACCTGAAGCTGGCATTGGGCGATGGTACACCTTGTTCCATCCATCGTTGAGCGGCAGGCATCTTCAAAAGAATGGCGCAAGAAAGCTCTGTCAATGTACTCATCGCTTTCAAGTAAGATGTATTGACATCCTTACAAAACCAAAAAACTCATTACTAAATGCAACTGAACGTGTGACATCTGACATGTGATGCATCAAAACACAAAGAAAGTTCACATATCATATGATTATAATATATGTCTTCTCATCAACATAAGCAACATGTAACATGTGTTAGGAGCATGTGACAGTGATATCATCAAATTCCGAGAATCTGCAATTCTACTGCACAGGCTCGACTTGCTGCAGCGAAATGATTCAGCATCTGCTGAGACAGCAGCATCAAGTTCTGATGCAGACTGGCATTGGTTGAGGATAGCCTTCTCATGAGATTTGCCCTTGGAAACAAACGCTTCCAGGCCCTGGAAACTGAATGCTGGAAGTGGCTTCAGTACCGTCTCAATGCCATCGATGCTCTGGGATGCCAACTGCTCATAAGATTGCACCCGGTTGTTCCAAAGCCCTGTATACTGGGTGTCCACGTTCATACAGGATCGCTCAAACAAACCAAAGTCTGAGAACTCAGTATTGAACGGCCCATCAGATGCATGAAGCACTGAACACACAGTCTTCAATGTCGGCAAAGCTGAAGCGTCAGGACTGTGCTTGCCAAACAAATCCTTCAAGGCATTGACATCTGTAAACAATGGCGCGAGACAAGTCCGGTCGTCTGAATTGTCAGTGGCTTTCTTCAGATTTGCACCTAAGTTGTTCCCAAAAGGTTGGTTAGCCCTTTTGGATACCAAAAATACATAAAACACACAATATCAAATCAGAAGTCAAATCAGAAAGCAGAACTATGTATAGCTTGGAGGCAGCTAGAAAATAGAGGCTGAACCACTCGAGCAACAAAGTTGGAGGTCTTCATCGCCTCGTTATCAGTGTCCATGAATGGCGCAGTCAGCAACAAGATTTGCTCAGATGAGCTGGATAGTGATTTCATATCTTCTTGCAAGATGGATTCTGGCTTTCCAACCTGCAAAGGACATGGTTGGTACATCATAATGACTTTCAACCTTTATGTATGTTTTATGCTGTATATGAATCATGACTATGACTCGACTCATATAGCAGTGTAGTAGCTTCTTGTTAATTGCTAGGAGCTACTAGTATTATATAATATATAACAAATGTAGTAGTTGTATTGTTTGCCCCATGCCCCTGCCTTGGCCAAAAGCTTCCCAACAGCCACAAAATGCTTGTCAATGTCAGCCGCAGCCTTGCTAGATGCACACCCTTTGAAAAGCTTCTCAAAGCATTGGATGGATTCATGGACGGATGGGAACTCTTTGGAGAGAAACGTAGCAAATTGCCTTTGGATCGACTCCACCTGCTTGACAAGTCTTACCAAGTCAATTGAAGTCCATTCCTTCATGACCCTGTTTTCATACAGTGAATGAATGGTGTTGCATAGTGCCTGTAGATGAGAGCAGCACTCCAGACCCATTTTCACTTCCTCGAGAGCTTTTCTTTGAACAATTTGATTCAGTTTGCTTGAATCAATGTTTGGAAGGGTTGCAGTCCGTTGTGCGCTATCATCAGCTGACAGCACAGAGCATGCATTCTGCATCCAAGGAAGGATCTCATTTTTCAAAAAGCAACGACCAAGCTTCTCAAGAACCTGTTTCAACGTAGTCTTGGAAGAATCGACGAACGCTGTGCAAGTTTCTGAATGAGACTTGGACTTGACAACCACATCAACGGCATCACATGCACTGAGTACTGTGTCAACTGCTTTGGAGGGATCAATATAGACACCACTTGCCTCCAAGTCTGACAGCAACTGTGAAGCTGGTTTGAAGTCCTCATGTGCAGCTTCCAAAAATTCAAACTCCTTTGACACACGTTCAGCTTGACTGAGAGCGATCTTAATCAATGCTTTGCCAGCTGCGATGTTCAAAAACACTGCAGCCAAACCATTGTCGAGTTGATCTTGTGACCTTGCAGTTTCCTGAATGCATTCAACCGCCTTCTTCAATTCTGTTGGAAGAGATGTAGACACATTGATGATCAAGTTCACCTGTTTGATGGTGTTGGAGACCTTCTCATTGGCAAGCTCAGGCACACTCTGCAAATGCTGAAAGAACTCACGTAGTGGCTTGATGGCATCATCATCATTGGAGGTGACCTAGGCTGCACCCCTATGAAAAGAACACACTAGATACAAAACCAAACATAAAAGTCACAAATAAACAATAAAGATCAATCCAGATCTGTATACAGTATATTTGACTAGTGACCTTCTTTGTAGGCAATCCACGTAGAAGCTTCTGAGCACATTCATTCACCATGAGCCAAAAGAATGAATCAGCATCATCTGATCCGAGAACATCAGTCATACGCTGTCGAGTAGTTCCCGTGAAGCTCTTCCAATCGGCATATTTCAGATTGGAAATGCATGCGCACTTCAAAGCCCGCTTCTTCAAGGAATGAGAGAAGGTCCAATCCCCAAGCTGCTTCATGCTGTCAACAAGATTTGTGTCCTCCCCACCACAGTTCAGAAGGTCTTGGCAAAGCTTCAAAACGTCATTCAAGTCACTCGTGATGGCTTCAAGCTCCGACAAAACATAGTCTGCGTTGTTGCTGCGTCGGCTGAGGCTCTTGTGCTTTGCTTTCACTTGGTCATTGAGAGCTTTCACCTTTTTGTGTCCTGATTTCAAGCACTCCACAATAGACGGTTCTGCATCATTCTCACAGATAAAGGCAGATTTTTGCAACTTCTCCATATCTTCAGAGAACTTGGCAATGATTGCCCTGTCTGCCTCATCTCCATCAGAACGCTGAAGTTTTGGTGCTGTGCCAAGCTCGACCACCTCAGAATCAGTATTCTTCCTCTTGTTTTCTCTCTTCGGCGCAGCTTTCTCCTTGGGTACCTTTGCTTTGGCTTTGGCAGCCTTGGTAGAAGCTTTGGCTTTGGCATTCGCAAATGCTGGAATCTTCCAGGCAGCTCCTGCTCCACCATCATCATCGCTTTCCTCAGTCTCCTGGTGTGGCTCTGTAGCAGGAAGAGGCAACGGATGTGAATGATCAGAACTGGCTGAGGTCGCAGAGTTCATCAATGGAATATGCTCTGGCGCTGGTAGCTTTTTGGCACCTCTCATAGCTTGGAAGCATGGCAACGAGTTCATGTCAATTCCATCCACAATGTTGATGTTTTCTTTGATAGCAATGTCGAACATTTTGCTCCCTGTGTCTTCTCCCAGTTCAACTTCACCGGAATAGACATCAGTCTTCTTCTCAACGCTTTTGGTCTCAGATTCAATCCGTTTGAAGTATCCAGCCTTCCCAACAAGGATGTTTACCTTACGCCATCAAACCATCATAAAAAAATACTTAATATGAATCTGAAGTCAAAATAAATCAAACAAATTTAAAAGCAGTATGCATCAAAATGTATGCCAAATTGCTCCAGCAATGGTTTGCCCATCAATTGTTTCATAGACGATCTCACTCGCATCGACAACGCGATCAGGGAAATCCCGTTTGAATACTGATAACTCCACAAAAGCGCTCTCTGGTTTCTGCAGCGATGAGGATGACTGGTGGTTCACAGTGACCTTTGTGCGAGGACCAAGTTGCTCTTCCGAACGCAATCGAAGAGATGGGTTTGCGGTTTTGAGCTCAATGTACTTGGTCCGCTGTGCCTCAATGTAGTGTACTCCCCAAAAAAGTAAAGAATGGTACATGGTATACCCACCACTGTACCCCACATATGTGATTTTGTACCATCCTTTGTACCATCCTTTGTACCACCCCCCCGTACCCAGATAAGCCCCCCCCAAGACCCCCCCAATTAAATAAGGGTTAGCTTACAGAGGGGGGGTCTTGGGGGGGGCTTATCTAGGTACGGGGGGGTGGTACATATGGTGGTACATAGGCGTGGTACATTCTTCCATTTTCTAGGTACAACAGTAGGTACAACACACCAAGAAACTTGAACCAAAAAAAGCTAATTGCTAATCTTTCCAGTGTCCAAGATACCAAAAATGCATGAAGCCTGGTAGGGTCTGCAGCAAAAAGTTTGTCCAGACCTGTCAAGTCCTTTGGAGTGACCTCCATGATCCAGCCGCCGCTGACAAATACCTAGGTTGACATGTGTATCTATACTCTATTGATCTCTATTGCGCTCACTCTGACTAAACTATACCAAACATATTTATATTTATATATATTGCAACTGAATTGCGACAAAGCAAATTTTGCAGCACAAGCCTTTAGGCTGCGTCTTCTTCCCTGCTTGCCAAGGCATAAGAGGATCCCAACTAGTGAACACACCAAGAGGAAGCACCGTGCTCATAGTTGACCACACTCTGCAATACTTGCACCGCTTGGGTTTGTATGCAGGAGCCAACTCAACAGACTTGGGAGGGTCTGGTGCTTGAGACGCTGTAGATGCCAGTGCTAACTCCATGGATTTCAACCCTTTCACAGTGCCTCTGTCCATGGCTTGGAGTCAACGATAACCTCTACTCTAGTTGCACAAACCTGAAATGTTCTTTGAGCAGTCTAATAGTCATTGGTATGGTATGCAACAAACAGCACTGAAGAAGACATAGAAAAAGCTTTGCCAATGTCGCTGCCTGTTATCACAAAAGTGAAGCCGGATACCAAACAAACGACACACTTTTCCTGAACACGAATACGCTTTACTCCTGTCTCAATGCAGTAGCACACATCACCCGGAGGTTTGGTGCAACCCCGAGAACTTGAACCCAATGTCCTTTGGACAAATTAGCATCAATTAGTATATTGCCTTCTTCCAGGAAAACGCAAAGTCAAACCAGCCACACGCTAGGTCAACCCCCAGTCAGGCTATCTGAGAGCTTCTTCCAGTCACAGCTTCGCTCACTTGTGTTGAATCATAGGCAACAATGGAATTGAACCTTTGTTGCCATGACAACATCAAGACATATCAAAACAATTTAACTAAAGCTCTGAAAATACGCCTTACACACCAACACTGAGGACAAACTATTATTTGATGGTTAACACATGTTAACGCAACTTATTGCAGTATTGCAAGTACCCAGAAACATTGCCATATGCTTTTCGCCATCAGACCGTGAAGGATATCTCAAGCCTGCTTCCAAATATTGCGCCATGAGTGGTCCCACGCAAAATGGAAAATTCTTGACTTGTCTCACCCGTGAGCAACGTGAGTGAAGATAGCATGCCACTGAAATTGAATGGCTAGGCGTCCCAGTCTTGAATTCAGACAGTCGACCTTCGTTGGCTCTTAAGTGTTCCTTCCACCAGTAACTGTATTTGATCTCAACCCCCCAAAAAAAATAAAAATAAATAAAAACAACAAGCAGTTTGAGAACCAAAAGAACATGATCTTGCTTAAATCACCCAGTGACCTAAAGTAATTGTCTTGCCAGAACTCATCTCGCAGTAGATCTTGTTGTCCTCATTGTTGACATAGCTCCGAAGAGGTGTATCAGCAGCCGCACGATTTGCACATTGATTTTGGCGTGATGGTGCATCCTTGCTAGAAGAACTCGTACACTTTGGGACGCTTGCAGCTTTTGATCTCTTTGTGGAGGTGCTACCCAGTCTAGCATCCAACGCGTCATTCCACTCATGCAAAAGTTCATCATATGGTTCATTAACATCATCCGGAATGTCATCTTGAATAGGACCAGAAGTGGCTGGCTCAATTGGCAATGAAGAGGCAGCTGTGGTAGTTCCGGAAGTCTTTGGTCGTTTGCCTCAACTGGTCCCGTTCAATAGTCTTTTGTTTCACAATTATCTAGTTGCTGTTGCAAATTGTTTCTAGTGTCCATGTATGCTGTATGCCACTGTATGCTCACTTTGTGTGTCAAGTCAAGGACAAATCCATAGTCTACGTCTATAAAAAATAAATAAAGCCAAGCTACTGCATGCACTTGTGGATGAGATTGGAAGTTGATTGATCTTCTTTGCTTTGGGAGCAGCAGTTGTCTTCGAAGAAGCACTACCACCCTTAACTCCGATTCCTTTCATCAATTTCTCTACAGTGCTGAGGTCCTCTGAACTCATCTCTTCATCAACAATGGTGCGTTTGGATCTATCAGATGATCGTTCCTTCTTTTGTTCTAGAGCAATGTGTTCAAAGCTCACAGCACTCACTTGTGAGCTTGCATACGCCTCAGTCAGAAGGAAGTGCACTGGACGATCTTCACCCAGCGTGTAGTCCAAATATAAGCTGCACGTCCAAGATTCGCTTGTTTGCTGTGAGTACCAGGTGGCAAACTCTCTCATTGTGTCCACATCAGGCAATATGTTGTTTGAGTTTGGCACTGAAACAAATCTCAAATCCACACGCAGTTTGTGCTCAGTGTTTGGTTCATTGCACTGAACAACATTGCACTTGATCAGGTCGATCTCCAAAGGATTGAAGGTCAATCGAAAAGCTATCCACGCATACATCAAATCATCAGACTGTAACAGAACCACAGGCCACTTTTCATTCATCCCGAGGAAAAACACATTGCCTTGTTTAACAGAGCGGCGGGCCATCATGATCCTCACCACATTTCTCATCATACCCAACCGCACTGTTGTATTTGGACATACTCTGAATGTCTGCGCGGCAATAGCGGCCCAACAAGCGTTCACACGGCAACAACCCATTGTCCAAACTCTGCTTTTCATCAATCTTCAGCTCAGGCACCATTGGACATACAAACCTGTGCTCCAAGTCAAACTGAACGTGCCCGTTGTTGACAAAGGATTTCTGCTCACAGGCAAAATTCATAATCGCTGGGGATATCACAAACTCTGTGTCACCAATACCGTGTAGGGTAGTTTGTTGCAAATCCAAGAGTTCCTGGACAGCTGCTGACAGGCTTTCATTCCTTGACAAATCATCAACAATTTGCAAATAATGAGAACGATAGTCAGGACTTGTCTCAGACAAAACCATTTGGCGATCTTGATCAGCAATGGTAGTGTTGGAGTCTTCTTCTCCTGACTCTGCTCCTGCTGATGCAGCCAAAGGATCCATAAGCCCAGCATCATAAATTGACTGCACTAGCAGCAACTGAAGATTGGAAATGTGACTCTTTTGTTTTGACAAGTTGCGCTCTCGCTTTTTTTGAGCATCCATGTGAATTGACCTGATCAAATTGTCTCGTGCATTGAGCTGTTTAGCCTGTGCAGACATCGCACGTTTGCGTTGTAAAGAGGTAGGACTAGAAGAGCCCCAGGCATCAACAGCCTTGGAAAAGATTTCCTTGCGCTCTTCATACCAGTGTGACCCAGCATTTGCACTGACGCCCTCCAGCTTGTGGCTGTGGAACTGCTCCTTCACAAACTCTGTGAAGCCAGTGCGTCTGAACGATGGTCCTGTCAGAGGTGTTGGCTGTAAGCTATGACTATGAAGAACTTGTGCTTTAAACCAAACCCCAGTACACTCTCAGCACAATGTCTAAGGATGTATTCCGCGAGACCTCCAGTCTATTCTCTTAAAATAAACAAATATAAAACAACAAAACTAATGGTTAACATATCACTCAGGTCCTGCTTCCTCACGGTGGCAAACGGATTCATCAAGAACATGTCGATTGGATTGCAACCTCGCTTGAGCAAGTCGAGCCTCTGCTGTCAAGTGCTTTGCAACCATACTAGGAATGTTGTGAGAGTTTCCTTTGTGAGATTGTCTCATCCTGGCAGCCCTGGAGAAGTTACACTCCAATTCCATATTGCTGACCTTGGTTCTGAATGCTAATACCAGCTTTTGGTGGAGATTGTGAGGATGGAAAATTGCCGACTCTGTCTCCAAGGCATCGAGCACTGGAATTCCAAAAAACCTGTCGCAGCAACATGTGTTCTTGCTCTTGAGCTCTCTAAAAAGGGCTTTCCGCTCGTCGTCAGACTTTGACTCATTGATCAACCCCGCAAATGACCATGGTTGCCGAGTATATGGCTTGATCAATCGTCCGTCTAGTTGCCCCATAGTTCCCAAGACGCACCACACTTGAGAGCTTAGCAGCTCTTGCGTTGATTCTGGCACACAACCATTTGGAAGCCCTGCATGGGACAAACAATAAAACACTGATCACAAGGGTAGTTTGATCAGTTTCACAGAGCATGCTTCTTCAACAGAATGTGCTTTTGGTAAAACGTTTCATCACAGAGTGGTTGTTCTTGTAAAATATTAACTAATACTTCAGAAAACATCATGAATCATGTACCAGTTCTCTTGCAGCACCAATCTCTGATCATTTGCAATCAAATACTGAAAACAATTAACTCAGCCTTTCGGAAGGTCCAGAAAGCATTGCATAAGAGGTGACAAAGGTTCTCCAAGATTGTCTTT